TGTGAAGCGAAGATTATTGAATGTAAATGGTTGAGCAAGAGCATGACACAAACATCACAGTTACTTTGAAGGAGCATACAGGAATCAGATTTACCTTTAGACATAACTCAAAATCAAGAGAGTTTGGATTATTCAAGACCAAGATGGAAGAGTCAGGTTACGTTCTTATTTCAATTATTTCAATTCAAGAATATCGGGCTCATGCTCAGACACCCGTTTCAAGATCCCTACTCAAGTCACAACTTCAATTGGATTTTGAAAAGGACAAGTTATGAATCTTAAAATACAATTTGAGTTCATCCTAATTTAGCAGAAAGGTTCAAAGCATGGGAGCCCAAGTTTCCCTTAATTTCAAACAAAGTCCACGTTGTTGCTTGAACACCGTAAGCGGCATGAATTGTATTACCTGCTTCAGATAAAAGTGAGACTATCCCAAATGATCATCCTTCAGCAAAATGACCCCAAGTCAGACAGTAAAGAAGCTGATGAGCTAGCCAAATTGACAGAACAATTCACCCACCGAGAATAAACGAGAAACTTCGGTAAATCCCTGCAAGATGTGAGAGCCTGTGTTGCCAACAAGATCGCAAGACTGTTACTGAGTAATTACCAATTCAAACATCGCCAAAGTCAACAATTTTGAAGTGCTGTCAAAAGTACGGTTGTGTTTCGAATGCCGCAGCTCGCACCTTATTTTTTCCTGCAAGGAACATAGTTTTATTACCAAAAACTATTAGAAAAAGGGAACAAGTCAAGATCAATAAAAAACCAAATAACACATGAAAGAACAGTTACGTGAGCATGCTAGCAGGATTGGCTGGTGTGTATTTTTAAGCAACTTGAATCGAACCGCACCCGTCGTATTACCTACAGCAGAAGCAAGTCACATTCAATCCAAACAGTCAATCCAGAAGGGTGATGACTAGAGCGAAGGTTCTAGCACAAAACGAGTATATGTGTTTTGAATCGGACCTGCCGCCAATAAGTGGAAGATGCCCAAACATCTCAATGTACTTCCCGCCGCCAAAGGAACTATATCAATTCTCTGCACAAAGAATCAAGTGTTAATATCTAAGACAAATTCAAGCGTTCTAACTACCGTCCAAGCAGAGATCCATGTACCACAAAGACACCACCTGCATCAAGCATACACGAGATAAAATGCAGACAACAGCAGTTTGTTTTTGACAGCACCAACATTACTTTGGAAAGGTTGGAACTTCCGTAACTGCAACTAGAAACAATCCACTCATCATTAGTTGAAGACGAGGATGAGGTCATATTGCATTAAATAATGAATTTGGGAATGGTAAATTCAGTCGGAGAATTTATAAAGAAGAAGTTTATATGAGAATTGAAGATGCACTTACTAAATTGATCGATGAACCTGCTAAGAAACTGCATACTTCACGGAGCAGGAATGATCAAGCTACTTTTGATCTCAGACTTCGGTGTCGCGATGCTATTGATGAGATTGTTGCAAGTTTGAGACAGTTTCAGGTTTCGTTTCTTAGGCTGGTTTTGAGTAATTAGGATGCTTTTGTTTCTGGTCATACTCATCGGCAACGTGTGCAGCCGGTTTCAATTCAACACCTCCTGCTTGCTTATGTCGAAGAGATTGAACATGATGTTGGTCGATCGATTGTTTGTAGAGCTAGGCTGAATTTCAGTCCTCTAGGGGGCTTGTGCATTGGCTGGTACAAGGCTCCCTATTGATTACAGATACATTGGGATTTACAGCTCCAGTGAGGATTAGTATTGATGCAGTTTTTGACCGAGATTTTCTACCGGAGTTTCTTTCTGCTAATACCACCACAGCAGCAACATACCACCAAAAAGGATCCCTCCACACCAGAACAGACCTAGCAGGAAGCCATGACTCGTTTAGTCAGTCTTTACCAACATGAACAACTGCTAGCTATAACAACCGTCCTGCACCATGGGAATGTTCAGGAAGAGATAGGTTTCTGCAAAATCATAAGAGGGCAAATTGTCAGTTCGTGAAATAAGAATCAAAGCAATCCAAACATATAGTATGTATTGAACTTCTACCCCAAAATCTTCAAAGAGCACTTGGTACGAGACTCGGTGAAGGTTACGACACTCTAGCTAATAATTCCAGCAGAAGAAAATTCCCTGTAATATCCAAATAAAGCCGTATCAGTACTGTCTAGAGAGGACATCGCATACACGCAAGTTTAAAACTCATATGGTAGCCACTCCTTTTCAACAGGAATTAGAAGCAACATCAGTAGAAGAGTAGAAACCACTTCCCTACGAGAAGCCTCCCAATTAGTAACTTTTGGCTGCTGAAAATTACTTGAAGCCTCTTGAGACTCTTGGGAGCACAAGCACGTTTGATACCTGGGCCTGCTCCCAACGCAAACCATTGCTTCGGGCTCGCCAAAGCTCTTCACACCACAACTAACAAAATTCACTTTGGAGTTGTTAATCTTATTTGGCCCAAAATCAAATACTATCTACACCTGCCAAATACCAAACATCAATTAGCAAAAACAATCAGGAATATCCCACAAAGGATTCAGAGAATATCCAATCCAAAATTATTACAGATTTGATACACATTAAACGAAATTGGGATAAAAAAGGAATGTTTTCAAATCAAACCATAGCCAAATTGGAAACAATCAATCAGCATTTACTCGTGATCAATGAAATTCAATCAAGAAATCAGAAGGTGAAGCTTATATAAAGAGGCTAGAGATCGCAAAAAAGGGGGGAACAACTCGAAAACCCTAAAAGTTGGTAAAGAGGAAAATCAAAGAAGGCTTATCTTTTCTCTTCCTCCATCGAGAAGTTGTGACCTTCCTCAACCGTGCACCGCGAATCAACAGCACGTCCACACCCTTCCACCGCCGGAAAGCGTTTTCGCCTTCGCTATCACCGTCAATCCTTGAACGCCTCATCGAAGAGATCTCGTTACGGTGAGTATATTTTTCACATGTTGTCTACTTTGAATTTTATGTTATGCTGTTTTTGTAGAGAAAACGAAGAAAGTGGAAAGAATGGAGATGAGAGAAGAGCGAGAGACGGGGACGAAAGCAGACGGACGACGGAATGAAAAGGGGATCGAGAAACTTAGGGTTTCGGTCTTCCTTTTTTTATTTTACTGATGTAATAATTTATTGCTAATCACACCAATCTCACACACACTACACTCACTAATCACCAACTAACCCACTTAAAATTTAACTAATCCTAGATTAGTCAGATAACCTTTTTGATTAAAATAATTAAACATTTTATTTAAGAATATTTTCTGTCTATTAATCTTGAACCTAAAAATAAATAAATCAATCAAATCTTTTTTAATTTTAACTTAATAACCTTTTTATTAATAATAACCCAATTTTATCTTTATCATGATCACCCTTTTATTAAAAGTAATCAGTAAACTTTTGGGTAAACTTCTTAAAACTTATTTATTTATTTATTAACTTTTCTATATCATTTTATTCATTACTCTTTTAATTAAAATTATTTTTTTTTAAGCCCATCTCATAATTCATTTTATTTATCAATAAAAAATAACTTTTTATAATAACTTAACAATTTATTTCATATTAACTTTAAAACAATTTTTGTAATAAAAATCGTTTTTATAATTTAAATAAATTACGTTCACGTGTTAATAATAACTAAAACCTTTTAATATTAGAAAACCTTTTAAGTGAATTAACTTATATCCACTTAATTTACAATGGCAACTTTTATGAAAATATTAAACCTTTTCCCTTTTAATAAAAATCTCTTAGATATTTTATTAATCTTTTATTCAAGATCACCCTTTAGAATTGACTCATCACTTAAAACCTTCGTCTAAAATCAATAGACAAAATCAAACTTCGCCCAAAAACAATCAAAACAAAATCAATCGTGCACACCCACTTCACCACACATGCACCTACACTTAGCGCTTTCATGCGTATATATTATTTATCTGTATCTGCTTTTATCTTATTCACGATACACACACTCACCTAGCGCTTTCATGCGTATGTGTATGATTTATCTTGCCGCAATTTACTTTACAGTCATTTAATATTATCGCATTTTACTATTCACACATCGCATTCCGTCCAAAGGAAAAACCTACACATGAGTCAACACTTGTGTGTAGTTGCACATCATAAGCATCATATTCCCCTCGATCCTTGATTCTTCAAGTTGATCATTTAAGTTTAGGACCTACCCCATAGGAAGGACCTTAATCTTCACAACATAGAAACAAACAATCAACTATACAAACTTTTTCAAACACATTAGAGAATAGATGTTAATCATCTTAAGTGAGATATAATCTCCACCTCCACAACAATACAATCAAACATGTAGGGACTTTGCCTTAAGAGCAACAAAGGCATACTTGGCGACCATCCGAGTATTTAAGACCTTTTCTTAAGACGATGCAAAGACCATTTCCTACAACCCCTTTTACACTTGTGGTGGTTACATCTCCCTTAACATGAAGACTCATCTCTTCTCCTAAACCCAATCAAAACAACTACCCTAAACCCGTAGGAACTTTGACCACAGTCAAAGAACTCCTCAAACCCTTTAGGGTGAACTACAACATACTCTGATTCCACTCCCGTAAGGATATGTAGGCATAAGATGCGACATCTTATCGAGTATACTTAGAAATAAACCCCATAGGTCTTTAAACATTAAGCAGATAAACCATAGCAATAAACAAACATAAAACAAGAGGTTCCTGTAGAGTACTACAGAAACTTAGGATGCTAGTACCTTCCCTAAGTTTAACCAACCCCCGAACCTAAACAATCTAGCTTGCATTTGCATTGCATTGTGGGAATTTCGACCTTTATCCCTTCCTTTGGACAAATCAAAGTTCGGTTGCAAATGAATAAAGATTCAAACTAATCAATAGTTTGGTATCCAAATTTCACCGCGACAGTAGTGGTGGAAATAATGTCTCCAATGACGAAACAATTGTAGGTGCTGCCCGTTCATCCATTATGGCTAGAGCTGATGCTTTTGAGCAACATTTAGAGGAACAAAACTCGATTGATCAACAAAATGAGCTTGAGGGGTATAATTCTAGTAAGTGTGTTAAAAGGGATCCTAACTTTGACATTCTTGTGTGGTGGAAACGCAATTCAGCCGAATATCCTATTATATCTACAATGGCTAAAGATATTTTAGCCACACCAGTTTCTACCGTTGCTTCCGAAAGTGATTTTAGCACAGGAGGGAGGGTCATAGAAACCTATAGGAGCTCTCTAACTGCTGAAATGGCAGAAGCTTTAATTTGCACCCAGAATTGGTTAAGGCCTTCTTTAACCTATTTCAAAGATATGAACCTCATGGAAGATTTTGAGCTTTCAGAAGATATTGTAACAGGTCAATTTATTAATTCATTTTGAATATAAAAGATATTCTATTGTTATATAATTATGTCTTTCTAAAAATATCTTTTTTCATTATTTTAGAGTTTCAACAAATGTCTTCAGCAGCAAGGGGAGGATCAGGTGTCTCATCATCACAGCCTCAGCCACAACCTTTTGGTTGTGCTTGAAATGGATGTATGTATATCATATTTACTTTATTTACTTGAAATGGATGTATGTGACTAATGTTTATGTTGTCCAATTTTTCAGGTCAACTGTGTTTTTTGATTTTTTGGGGTCATATATGACCTATATATATATATATATATATATATATATATATATATATATATATATATATATATATATATATATATATATATATATATATATATATATATATATATATATATATATATATATATATATATATATATATATATATATATATATATATATATATATATATATATATATATATATATATATATATATATATATATATATATATATATATATATATATATATATATATATATGATGGGCTAAAGACGTGTCTACTTATGCGTCTAGCGGTATCTTACTGCAAGTGCACAGCCTATCGAAGTAATATTTAAGATTATCGATCCACAGGGATTCTATTGTTACTTAGTGCTAGATGAACTTCTAGTTTAGCTAAGGCGAATGGTTGTCACGATTGTTGTTGGTTTTTAAGACTATTAAAGGCGGGATTAAATTCAAGTTTTTAATAAAATAATACTAAGGCGGTCGGTATGTAATTATACTAACTCAGGTGGGTCAATCTAACCTAGGCTTATAAAGATGTTCGCTTAATCTATTCGGTAGAGATTACTAGTTTAAATACCCTCAACTCACACTCTCGTGGTCTTATATCCGATCTTATCCCTAAAACCCTATGCCTGCTCTCGCTAGCCCATAAGTGTTTAGAGGTAATTTTTGGAAACTAAATAATTCTAATTTATCTTAAAGCGCTCTCGCTGTATTTAATTTAAATGCCTAACTTTAGCTATCTGGTTAAAATCTCACACTCTCGTGGTCTTGACCCAACCTAATACCCTTTTCTTACTCTCGTAACGAAAAGGTCTATTTTAATTAAAAAGTATCAGCCAGAATGTTAAGTGATTAATTATTTTAGCCTATGGTTATATTTTACCGGTTAAGTTTGTTATAACTACATACCGCCCTAAGGTATTTAGCTACTCATCGAGATTGAATCAGACACAGAATTAAATAATAACTTACTCATGGCAGAAAAATAAATAGACATTATAATTAAATTAAAGTGCAATAAATTGAAAAACCTGATTAACAAATATCTGAGTAGACTCCTTCTTCCACAGACCGGAAGGCTTGGAGTAGGCGGAAATAAAAATTAAAACGAATGCTGAAGGTTGGAAACAAATAAAAGTATAACAATTCCCTAATGTTGGAAATTGTTACACGGTTGGTTTGGATACAAATAAAACAAGACAGAAAGTAAAATAATGCTGGAATAAAAATTCTGGTTCGTAAGGTAATTCGGCAGAGCTTCCGCAGGAATTTTGGATAGTGAAGTCTGTCCTCAGTTCACCTCAGCTGGTACTATTTATAGAGCCTTTGATGGGCTGGAGTCTTGGTCTTTTGTTTCTTGGGCCTTGCTGAAGTGGTTGAGGAAATGTTGGAATGTGGCAGCAGAAAATGGGAGAAGTCGTCTTCACGTGCTGCCTTGAGGAAAATTACTAGGAGAAGTGGTCTTCAGTGGTGGCTTGACGTAGTCTGAGTCAAAACCAAGTTTTATCCTTGTCACGGGCGTGACAAGGTCTTCACGTTCGTTATTTGAGGATTTTAAGTGTCACGGTCGTGACTACTTCCTCACGGTCGTGATGGCCCAAATTGGGGTGTCACGGTCGTGACACCCTTGTAACGACCGTGGCTGTTACAAATTATGCAGACTTTTTGCAGGCTTCTGCCTTGCTTCATTTCTTGTGGTTTCTTTCGTTCCTTTCTTCTTAATTCATGATTCGGCCTCACATAACGATGTACCTGCAAAATAGTAAGAAAAACTCGAGAAATCGAGCGTTAAAACGGTGAATGCGCGATAAAACGTCAATGAAATCTAGCGATATAATCGATGCGTTTTCTCGTCATCAAACTTCCCCAAACTTAAACCTTTGCTTGTCCTCAAGCAAATAGTCGGTTGAAAATCGGCGGACAAGATTTTATTCGCGCATACTCGTAACAAACCGTACGGTGGATCATTTTGTCGGATAGTCCGGTACTTTGATAGAACACTACCGATACTCTAATGACACAAGCAATAAGCTATGTCGTCGACTTCCCGTCAAGCGAAACAATCGGCGATCACATTACGATTTCACCTAGAGTTTTTCGATCTTATTTCGCCCGACTTCGTTCTAGCGCAGTCATATTAAGCCCTTTGCCTTCGCACGCACGTAGTGGAGTAGCCGGTTAGCGATTTTGATCCTTTTTTAGCACGGGGTCTGGTACACGAGTGTGGTAACCCTTCATGTTTTATCCGATTCGGAGGTTGTGGGGGATCGAGCCGTAGCACGCCCTACCGAGTTCAGAACCAGTACCTCTGAACCAACTCGAAACGGATTCCTTCTCATATTTCTCGTTTCTTATCTGCGACCGTGTACTTTGGTGCAATTTCTTTTCATTTTGCATTGAGATACGAAGGATCATTATTTGATTAGGCATCAAACGCTTATATTCATCGGCTCCCCACGTGGTTTGTGTTCAGACGGTGCTGACTGCTAGTATAAACTACTGGGGGTTACTTTTGAACTGAAACTAAAGGTGCACTCGCAATGGTGATCAGGATGGAATTTCTTAAGCAGGGGGTCGAAGATGTCAAGATTGTATTGGTCTTGTTTAATCGTTCCCGGCTTCGTAATTACGAACCATTCGGTGGTAAGTCGGGTAATGCGAGTAATTAAAGATTTTTCTGGTATGTCTTAATAATCGGGGAAAGCTCGAAATTAAAGAAAATAGCGCACAGATTTGCTCATTTCATTGATTTTGCTAAAAGGAATACAACGGAATTGAAAGTACACTGAAATAAAAAGTACCTCTCCCACACTATATCAGACATTGTCCTCAATGTTGTGATATAAATGCGGTACAAATACAGTACAAGACTAAAAATGAAAAACAACATAAAAGTAAACTACTGCTGCTGAGGACCGCGGGCTCGGCCTCTGGTGCGAGAGCGGCGTCTGGAGGGAGTGGCGTCGGGATCAGAGCCGGTGCCTGAGGTAGCAGTAATGCTGATGCGGAGCGCCTCGAGCTCGCCGAAAAGTTCTCCAAACCGCTCATTGGTGGCCTCCTGGTTGGCAGTAATGGTGCCGAGTAAAGCATCATACTGCGCCTTCTGCCGTCGCTCCAGTGCGACGTTCATCAGGTTCTGCTGATGAATCACAAGTAGGACCTCCTCAAGTGTGACTGCGGGAGCAGAGGGCTGCCTGGTAGATGTCTCGGGGATATCCTGGACAGGCTCAGCTGCATCCATAGCGTCCTGCATCTCGTCCACTGGGGCGTCTGCCTGATCATCATGAACCGGGATGTGATCGGCAGCAGCTGGTAAAACAAAGAGCCAGTTGGCTCGGTTGGATGGGTCGATGCGGGTGCGGGACGGCAGAGTGATGTGGTGGAAAATGGTGCCATTGACAACAGGGTTGTACCTGCCATCCTCTTGCTGCGCGATCAGGTGGACGGACCGGCAGTAGCTCATGGTCAGGAATTCGGCGGCGAGGTGAGGCTGATTAGCGAGCGCGTCACCAAGCCCCAACTGAATGGCGAGGGTGGTGACAATGCCGCCGATGAAGAACGGGGAGGAGCCTCGGTGCGCAATGGCCTGGATGTGGTAAAGCATAAAGGGGGCAGCGTTGATTGGCTCGTCGTGGAGAGCACAGTATAAGAACAGAAGCTCCTTGGAGTTGAGCTTGTGGTTGCTTTCTCTGGCAAAGATTGTGTTGCAGATGACCCGGTGAAAATAGCGGATAGCCGGGTTGTGGATGTGTGTGGCGTTGAGGCTCTGGAATGTGGATGCACGGGTGTTGGTGAGGTCGTGCCATAGAGTGAATGCTTGTTCACTGAAATTATCGGGCACGCGACGGTGGGCTTCGGTGCCGTGATCGAAACCTAACAGCTCGGCGATCCTGGTTTGTGTGAGGTTGAACTCCTGGCCGTGCAATCTGAATGTTACGATGCCGGTAAGCTGACTCTGAGAACCGGGAGAGGTGATGTAACTGTAAGAGCTGAGGAACTCCAGCGTCAGAAGTTCAAAAGTAGGCTGAGGCTGACGACAGAGGTCCCACAGACCGACCTTTTGCAGTAGGCTTTGAACGCTGGACAACATTCCGAGTTCTCGCAGACAGTCAGTGGCAATGTAGCGGGTAGGTTGCAGACCGCGGTTCTGGAAGCGGATGAAACGGTCTCTCTGGGTTACTCCAGCTTCACCTTCTCTAAAAATGATTGAATCCATAGCATGCAAGAGTGAAGAGTGAGGGAGGAAGGATTTTGTGAGGTTTTGTGAGAAAAATGGTAGAATGAGGGAGATTGAGGTTCGAGTTAAATACGGGAGAGTTTAAATGAAATGGTGGATGATAATGGAGGGTTAATGGGGGAAGTGGAGAGGTTACGACGGTTGTGGAATGAGTGGGTAGTGTTTTGGGTAGGTTATGAATGGAGAAGAAGAGGGGACACGATGAGAAGCAGTTCTGTTTCTCACGATCCCTGTAATAGAGGTTGTCACGGTCGTGACAGGGGCGTGACGGTCGTGACACGCTAAATGAGCACGTCACGATCGTAAGTTAAGTGTGACGACCGTGAGGGCTTGTTGTGCTGAATAATTCCCAGAAAAGAACATTGTCTCACGTTATTTATAAATTGATAATAATTTATTTTATTTAGTAACACTTATATTAAACACTCACCATATTATATATCATTTGCAACACAGTAGTATATGAACCTAAGATTGTATACATAAAATAATGTAGTCATACAGTATATGGTCATACAGTATATAGAAAAAGTAGAAAAAGTATATAAGCTGTTAAAAATGAAGAAATAATTGAAATAAAAAGTGCATGGCATAAAGAAAAATTGAAATTACATAAACGGAAATTATGTTATGAAATTGTTGCGAAAGATAAATTTAACT